TCCCTTCAAGTTACTGGAAGCATTACAAGGGTTAATAAAAAGCACACAGATAGTGCTGGCCTTAAAGATGAGCTATTAAGAGTTATTCACCATAATGAATGAATACAATCTAGAGGCGATCATTTAGATGATTAAAAACCCCTAACAGGGGAAATAAAGAAAATGTGGACAGAAAGAAGTCAAATTGCTCTTCGGGGCCTGACAGAGATGAGCCTCCTTCCTGTTGCTACATTTGCTTGAGATGCCCGAAGACCAGCGTACTGTCTTTAAGTTTCCCACCACCCAAACACAAATTTAATTCAAGAGCCCCTCCCGCTTTGGCCTCAGGAACAATCTCAAGAAATTAGTTACTGAAAATTCCCGGCAAACATCGTTTGCACCCCAATTCCTTTCGGCTGTCAAGTACTTAACTTCAATGACAACCCTGAAGAAACAACTAGCCCGTGAAACCACAAACACAATGATGGCCTCAGGCTTCAGCAGAACCATGAGCTGTCCCCAGACAAATATAACAAAGACTCACATATTCTACAAGGCTCAAGTGTGTCCTGGGAAATGGCCCGAGCCAGGGAAGGCGAGGGAGTAGAGACAGCATGTCTTTGGGAAAGGTCTGTTGGCTGCCCTGGGTCACATCTCAGGCTGTTTCTTTAAGTCATACTCTCATTATCTTTTCTCAAAGATGCACTAGCTTCCTACATACCACTACAGCGCTAAGGTCTTCTTCCTCAGTTACATGGAAAGAGGCTGCTGGTTTTCCTTACTGAGTATCCCCTACTGCCCACCAACTATTCCAGAGAGGAATGGTCTTCTTCAAGTTCCTCCCAAAGGGAGGCTTATACTGGAGACGTGACTTCCTGGTGCCATGTAGTATATGTGTTCAAGCCTACAGACCATGCTGGGGTTTGTCCAAAAGTTCCCTGATGGCTGTGGACACTCTTGAAGGTGTTGTCAATCTGCATCAGTACCAAGGGAAGAGGTGTTTGGCCACCCACTCACAGATGGCCGACAAAGGGCCTCTCCTCCCTCTGCAGTACCTAGCATGGAGGGTGCTGCCCATGTGTGACGTGCAGCTGAGTTGATGGCCAGGCAGCATCTGCTGCACAAAGCAGCCAGAGACAAATCCCCATGACAAAGCCCCATAACAAAGAAGAGCCAACGCCGTCTTGTACCTGATCACCCAGTGGAATGGGAGCTCTCCCCAGCTCCCTTCCCTGGCCTTTGGTCTAGCTATGGGTCTCATCCACTTTGGGCAGTAGAGTCACTTCCAGGTGTATAAAAAAAATTCATGTCACTCTCAACTCTTGTTTATCTCAGGACAGCTTGATTTCAGGTATTACTAAGTAAAAGTCTTGAGGAATGCCCTTAACCCAGAATCTTAAAGGGGTACAGCATCAACCCCCTGCCAAAGGTGGTGGCAGGGTTGTCTAGTGAGAGACTTGAGCAGAAGGTAAAGCGTCAGCCAGGAAGAGGGCGTGCAGGATGCATTTCATGGGCCTCTTTCAGTTGAACCCAACTGAGGGCTGGTGGTCTCCTCGTTTCCCTTTCTGTGGCTGTGACAAAATACTCTAACAAAAGCAACTCAGGGAAAGAGGGGTTTATATGGCTTGCATTCTAGGAAAAGCTTTATCTGAGGCAAGTCAGGACAGGAACTGAACCCGAAACCACTGGTGAAATGCTGCTTGCTGGCTCATCACGGGTCATGCTCAGCTAGCTTTCTTCTTGCTAAATTTTTTGAGACAGAGTTTCTCCATGTAGTCCTGGCTATCCTAGAGGTCATTATGTATACAGACCAGGCTGGCTTCGCACTCACAGTGATCCTCCTGCCTTTGCCTCCCAAGTGCAGGGATTAAAGGTGTGCGCCACTGTATGTGGCTGCTAAACTATCTTTCTTATAAAACCTGTGTAGGGGTAGTGCTGCCCACACTGGGCTGGGCCCTCTGACCTCAGTCATTGATCAAGATAATCCCTCACAGACAGGGCCACAGGCCAAGCTAATCTTTCTTAGATGACTCTGGCTGTGTCATGCTGACAGCTGAAGCTAACTAGGACAGTTTGTTAGTGTAAGGTGTGACACTACCAGCTAGATCCTGTCAGCGGATGAGAGAACTTTTATTTTCCTGAGATGATCAATCACGAAATGAATCCAATCTATAATTTCCTTGTTAGGGAAATAAGGCCCTGGGATACAGGACAAAACGGTGTAGAATGAGAGATGAATACTCTGCCAACATCACATGACCAAGCTAAAATCAAGATTTTTAAAATGTTTAGAATTGAAAAAAAAGTAAAATGTTGACATAAACATATTTTGCAAGTAACCAAATTGTTCACACAGCCAACTACCTTTCCCAAATCAGTCAAACTGATCTGTCCCTCAGAGCCATTTTTTGGGGAGATGGTAGAACACTAGGAGCTGGAGCCGCAGCTGTTGACAGGAATGGGAAATGCTGCTTAAGTTCTGCAGGTCAAAGTTCTTGCTGACAACTTGAGCTGAATCCCTGGTCCCCACGTGGTAGGAGATAACTGACTTCCACAAACTGCCCTCTGACTCCACATGGGCCCCATGACACAACACAGGCATACACACACCCCCATACAGTAAATGCAACAACACTATTTTAAATTCTAAAATATCTTAGAAGGAGCAAAAGTTTATAAAAACAAAAGTTAAGAAGTAACCTAACATTTTAAACTTATCCACTTAGAAATTTTTTTTACCACACTAGAGACTGTTTGAAGAAATATTTTATATATATATATATATATGTGTGTGTGTGTGTGTGTGTATTTATTAGCAAAACATGATCTTAAATTGCTGTTCTCCACCCACCTGAGATTGCTACCTAAACCGAAACCTAAACAAAATTGTCACGCGTAAGTACAAAATCCTGACGAGCCTTTCCTACTGAACAGCTACATGATTTCCAATTCTCCACTGAGCTCTACACGTGGTGTGAGGCACCCACTGTCAGCACCTATGGCACGACACCCAGGACACCATCTTGGTGCCGAAACATCACAACTCAATTGACCTGTAAATACCACCACTAAAAGCAAAGTTGGACTTCCTTTTAGCCACTTTTATAGGCCTAAACCTCTATAGGGGCAGCTGAGCTAGTTGAGTTCAGTACCTAAGCATCTCAGATGCTGCCACTGTTTCTGAATCAGGCTCAGGAGCCAGCCTGGTGGCACAGCCTGCACATCCTAGCAATTGAGGAAGTTATGGAAAGAGGATTAAAAGTTCAAGGCCAGCCTGGGCAATTTATTGCTATCAGTAGTAAAAAGGGGGGTGTTGGGGTGGGGATGTAGTTCAGTGGAGAGTGATTACCTAGCATGTGCAAAGCTAGGTTCAGCGCCCAACACCACAAAAACAAAACCCAGGTTCTAGAAGACAAGGTGGCTGGAAGTTAGAAGTGTAACCGATTTCTTTTTCTCCATCCACTTTCCTCTCTTTCATGACCCTCCGAATATACTCTGTGTGTGCATGTGTGTGTGTGTGTGTGTGTGTGTGTGTACACACACACCAGCACCCAGATCTGGAAACCGAGCTTTCACTTGGCAAACACAGACTGTATACAGTGCTGCTCGGGAGAAGTAGGAGAACAAATCTCTTTCCATTTCCCCTTTGTTTTCAAACAAAGTACATCTCGAGAAGGAGTTGTCAGCCTTTGAGACAGCTTTCTAAAATCCAAGCCCAGCCCCTCCTCGGACCTGACTGATGAACTGTTTAAGATGGAAGGCTCAGGAACATCCTTGGTATGTCCAGGCCAGCGAAGCAAATGCTTCTACCCCTCCCTCAGTTACCTCTCAATGCTTTCAACATAGTTTGAGGCACAAAGCCGCTGGCAATACACATCTGTGTCAGGGTTATGGCGCGGCCCACTGCTGATGTGAGAGTGTATGCTGGGTGTGAGAACCAGGGGAGGGTGGGACATGCAGTTAAGTGATTGGCTGACTTGCCAGTGGCTTTGGTCATGGAGGAATTTAAGTTTAGTCTGGCTGTGTTAGATGTATCAGTGGGAGAAACAATATATGTAATATCACACTAGCAGGGTTTTCAGTTACATGTATAGCTGAAGCAATAACAAGGATTTATTATTATTATTATTATTATTATTATTATTGCTATTATTATTTCTTTTGAGACAAGGTATCACTATGTGGCCCTAGCTGGCCTGGAACTTGCTTTGTAGACCAGACTGGCCTCCAACTTACAGAGATTCACCTGTCTGCATCTCCCAAGTGTAAGGATTTATTTTTTAAAGACAGGATCTTGCTATGGAACAGTCTCAGCCTTCAGCGCACTGGCATTAGTGTGTACCTCTGTGCCCAGCCTATTACTGGCAGTATTAAAAGACATCGATGACTCATCTTTGAGCTTGCAGACAGTACATTTGTCTGAGTCCTTTGAATGAGACACAATTCTATCTGCTGTTCAGATTGATGCTAAAGCTGGAAGCAGCTAGAGCTGAGTAACAGCAGTATCATAACAACATATTAATATGAGCATAGCATCAGCCACAATATCATAATTATCATTCCCATGAGTCTTTATATTATGTAGTCACTGCTAATCCCCAAGTCTCCAACTTTCAGAGTACCGGAATGCACCGTGAAGGTTTCGGGGGCTGAGTATCTGAGTGCACACACAGTAGGCACTGTTCTGATTAGGCTGCCCAACTCCGCTCTCCAGATTTAACTAGAGACAAAGCTCAGTGAGTTTAATTTGTTCACTACCAGGCAACTGTTAAATCCAAGAGCCACAAACCATGTAAACAACAAGAATTCAAACACACAGTAATGGCTATAGCTGAAGTTTCATTACTGAGAACTCAATTCAATGCTACACTGTCAACGATCACATGACAATCCCCATTTACAAGTCAAAGGGCAGTGGCAATCTCAGGAGGGTAGGTATGCCAAGGTGGGAGTGTGTGATTACGGACGAGGACACTGAACTGTAAATTACGTAACTGTCTCTTGTAATTACCCTGCTGCAGAACAGAAACAAACTTCCCGTGCGATCTGCAGAGAGACGGAGACTGAGACACGCAATCACCGTTGCCTTGGCTTTAACCGGTTAGCAGCTATTTAATTATGTCTGATGAGGGCAAAGCAAGTTAATTTATGAAAACTTGGCAGGAAGGTATTTCAAAGAAAATTCTCTGAAAAGCTCCCAATAGTACTGAAACCTGATGACTTCTCTTCAGGAAAGAGCTATCTAAACTGTTCGCATTCTAAATGACGTTTAAAACAAACTCACAAGCCATCCCTCTTCTCCCCTCGCTAAAAACCCTTGCTATGGTCTGTAAGCTTTAACTAGGGACAAGTGAGAAGCGGCAGGTGGAAGGCAGGCCGGCAGAGTCCTCTGATGAACCTTCTGCTGTGGTAGGAAAACCATTACTAACTTCCTTGACTTCATGGAGAAAGACCCAGCAGTGGGGCAAAGCACAGAGCAGGACTTTAGACTGAAGAACGGAAGGCCATCTTCTGTGTGTGAGCATGTGTGTGTGTGAGCACACACGCGTGCACAGATACAAGCCACAGGCCAACTCTGGGTGTGCTCTCACCCGGCTCAGCTGCATTTTGGCAACTGGACCCTTTTCTTTCCCATTCTCTTCTGGAAGCACCATGTACTAAATGCCCAGGTTTCACAAGTGCACTGGACCCGGCATCCTAGGAGGAGGAAAGGGAATTCCCATTCACTCTTGCAGTGTCTGTCTGCCAGGAGGGTATTTGTTACGTCTGGATATTAAGAAACAGAAAGTGAACAGAGCACCAACCCTAAGGCTGCAATGCCTCTTCATCTCTCTGGCCTCAGGTATGGCGTTTCCCTCCAGCCCACCCCATTGTACAAACATTTCTTTATTATCATTTACATTTTAAAGTTGTTTTAATTATTTCTTATGTTTTGCCTACGTGCAATGTCTGTGCACCTTGTGAGTGCCTGGTGCCTATGGAGGCCAAAAGAGGGAGGATGGATCCCCTGGAACTGGAGTCACAGATGGCTGTGAATCGCATGTGGGTTCTGGGAACCCAACCCCAGTCCTGTGGGAGAGGAGCCATCTCTCAGGCCCCCATATAATATTTCTCATCTGAATCTCCCATGTCACCACACTTCACCCTTCAATTGTATTCACGGGCAGAAGCACAAGTTAGGGAAGGCCATCTCTTCTAAGAAACTTGAGCCTGAGGATCTGAGTCCAGGGATGTTTGGTACACCCGCTTCACGCTTATACAAACAGCTGTGCAAAGGCTGACAGGAAGCAGACGCCAAGCACCAAGCACTTACACACTTAACACTTCTTATATAAAGCAGTGAAGGGGAAAAACTCTCTTTACAACACCCCTGGTGTAATACCACCAATAAATACAAAAGGCTGTCCAGTTTTAAGAGTCACAGCCATCAAACAGATGCTATAGGACATGTGACCTCTCACATTAAAACAAAACAAGCCCCACAAACACAGAAAAGCACACACAATGTACAACTTAGTGGATTACCACATGACAACTGTCCTTGGAACTATCACCTCGGACCATGACATAGAATTTGCTGACCACCGCCAGGAAACCTTGCTTGTCCCAAGCAATCTCTCCTCCTCTCTCTCTGATAAGGAACCATTATCAGGGCTTTTTCTGGCAATCCCTGATAGGTTATTATTATTCCTACCAATAGATTTATTTATTTTATGAAGAGTTTGCTTGCATGGAAGTCTGTGTACCACGTGCATGCCTGGTGCCCAGAGGCCAGAGGAGAGCTCTGGACCCCCTGGAACTGGAGTTATGAGTCATGGTTGTGAGCCACCATGTGGGAACTGGGAACTGAACCTGTGTCCTCTGGAAAAGAAGCCAGTGCTATTAACCACTGAGGCATGTCTCTAGCCCCTATTATTATTATACTTTCACCACCAAAATATCCAGGTGCTAACACAGTTTTGTCCATTAAGAAAAAACTTAATTTCTTTTCATGTGTGGGCCTCTCCTTCTACTCCATTTCCCCCGCCCCATCTGTTCTTGATCTTGGGGTTCCCCTAGCGGCACACTTGTTACCGCTCAGTGTGTTCCTCTGCGTCATTTCCTCCAAAGCAGCAGCAGCAGCAGCAGTTTGGTTCTGGCTGTCTGCCCCTCCTTCTGCACTTTGCAGCTGCTGACATTCAGCGTGTGGACCCACCCAGTAACTCACGGGAGGAGACTGCACGAGCTCTTACATTTTCTCACTGTGTACCACTTGGTCACCTAGTGGTACAGCTCACACAAGAAAGGCATTCATTTACCAGTTTCAAGACAATGGCCTGGTTCTTCTCATTGTTCAGATTAGTTTTCAGTATCATTATTACTTCTGAATTTGACATGTCTCAGTCTATTATAATAATTATCTTTATTAACATATTTACTGCAAAGGAGGCTTTTCAAGGTAACTCCTGAGTTCTAATATGATCCTAATAATTTTTACTTCATTACTTCCCAGAATGACAGGGACAATTTTTTTTTTTTTTTTTGAGCCATAGGTCAACTCTGGGTGTCTTCCTTGATCTCTCTTCTACCTCACTTTTTTTGAGACAGGGACTCGCTGAATCTTGAGCTCGCCTGTTTGGCTAGGCTGCCTGGCCAGTGAGCTCCAGGCCTCTACCCATCTCTCCTTGCAACTCACTCCCCCAGCCTGAGGTCACAGTGTGGACTACTGCACTGAGCTTTCATGGAGATGCTAGACAGTAAGCTCAGGTCCTCGTGCCTTGCACATTAGGCACTGTAAGCAAAGGGTCATCTCCTCAGCCCAGAACACTCTTCCACACAAAGATTCTACCTAGTTCCTAGATCCACCTGCATTATATTTTCTCACAATTTTAGCAACATTATTTTTGGTTACTTCAACAGCATAACTATGCTGATATTTGTTTCAATATGGACAAGTGGCTATATAAATAAAGCAATTTTTAAAATATACTCAATTACTTTTATACACTTTAAAAACAGTAAAACACTTTGTTGAAGAAAGGTTCTTCTAATGTTAATTCAAAGCAAGATTCAAATAATTATAAAAAATAAGTTTTTATATTGTTAAATATTACAGTGTAGTATGATATTACCATAAAACTATGTTAAACACAAATTTAGTATGTCAATATGACCCCTAACTGTATTTCTCTAACACAATTCTAAGCAAATACAGAAAAACTTTTCTCCCAAAACAAGTATTTTTTCTTTTAAAAGCAGCAAGCAAGAAAACCTTCTGGCTATCTGAAGATATCTGCGTTATTCAGAACTGTCCTGAAGGGGTAAGCATCCTTTTATAGGAAAATGTTTTTGCTTTTATTTATTATTTTTTACATAAAACTGACTGCTTCTCTTATAAGCTGGAAAATACATTTAAGGGTAACAGTCACCTTGGAACCAAAACTAGGCAGAGCACTAATTTCAACCAATATAAACAAAGTCTTGCTGGTAGCAGCGAATGCCTTTGATCCCGTATTTCTGAGTTTGAGGCCAGCCTGGTCTACGGAACAAGTTCTAGGACAACCAGGGCTACACAGAGAAATCCTGCCTTAAAAAAAAAAAAAAAAAAAAAAAAGAACAAAGCCGTGTATGATCTTGTTCTAACAGTGGAAAAACTGCTTCAGAAATAAAGACTTTAACTGGGCCAGTGAAAGAGAGTTGGAAGCGTTTCCCACTGCAGAGCCTTGTGGGTACCCCTCACACCTAGGATGAGAAATGAAGCCTATTCTGACACCCCCCCACACACACACACACGGCAAGGACTGCATCATTACCCTCTCTCATCAGCAAGCATCACCTAGGCCATCCCTGGCAAACTCCAGGTAAGGCGTGTCTGTAGAAGGAGGGACAAAGATGTACATGTGAAAAGACAAAGACAGGCACAAAGCTCAGATCAAGAACTAACTTCGTCAGAAGCTAGCTGGGTGTACCTGCGAGGTGCTACCAGCGAGCCAGAGGAGGGCCAGGCATTCTATTATTCCCTTGACAGATCTTCACTGTACGTCCATTGTGTGACGAGCACTGTGCTTAGGGCTGGGTATTCAGCCCTGAACAAATCCCTGTCCTCAGGACACCACTGCCAAGGCTCCCCTCAACTGCCCCTGACCGGGCTGTTGCTCACTTGTTATCCGAATGCAATTTGTCCAGTCGTGGGTTCCAACGTGACTCACTGCAAATGCCTACTGCTTAGCAATCTGAACAAAGATCTGACAACAAAACCCACATGCATGCCAAAACCTGAAAAATTCTGAGCTCTGTAAAGCAAAAAGTAGCTTTCAGAAAAAAATGAGACTGCAGACCGTATGTTTCATATTTACAATGTTTTCATTGAAGCAATGAATACAAACTATTCTATACAAACTATTTATTTGCTCTTATTTATGACAAACTTAGTTTCTTTGAAAAAAGATACATAAATAAATCATTGGCTGCACAGCCTCATGCAACGCATTTCAGTGCATTCAGTAACAGTCAACTGCTGAATAAATCACCACAAACTCAATTTTCAGCCTTGATGTTATCTTTATCATACTAAAATACATCACACACCACCTTCATGTACTAAAACATTAGTGGCAAAGGCTTTTAGTGAAACATATTACAATGAGAAAATAAGGAAAAACAGTCATTTTCTTTATTATATTACACACCAGCAGCTATTAAAATGTCATTACACTTGATTACACAGATCAGAACAAGTCTTCCAGGGACCTGAAACCCAATGACAGCAGAGGGCCTACGATCTCCCCCAAGTGTCACGGGAGATGTCCCTATCTCAGAGCCGGAAGGACCAGAGCACCTCTGGACAAGGACATCTTATTTTTCTTTAATGATTGCCCTGACGGCACTGGCCAGGGAGGGCAGCTGCAGGGAAAAGGAGCGGCGAGCGCTTGCTTGACAGTGTCGAGGACTAACACTGGAGTTTCCTTCCAAAATAAATGCGACAAGAAATGTACTGTCTGATAAGAGAAACGGAAGGGGAAGATAAGAGTCCCTCCAACCGACTGAGTGCACATGTGACTTCGGCCACCCCTCTCTCCTTTCTGCCCAAGCCCGGCAGTGGGGAATGACAATCCTTTCTCTCTCTAAAGAGAGCCTGAGTTCCCACAGAAGGCCCAGACCTCAGAGGACAGGCTGGTCAGCGTCCCCGGGAAGAGATGTGCCCCTAAGAATCACACGAGAGAAGAGAGTGAGCTGATCAAGTTCTTCTTGCAGTAATTCGGGAATTATTTGTGGCAGATAATAAAGGGCCAGTGAGTGCCAGGCTCTTCTGGAAAGCTTTCTTTTGGTGAGAGACAATGACAAAACCCAACACATATACATAACATCTATGGAACTTTCAAAAGACTTTCTACCTGCTCAGCTGAAAGCTTTTTTTTTTTTTTTGTCTTTTAAAAATGGTTAGTGCCACCTTAAAAACGTAACTATTAAAACAAAACTGCCATAAGTAGCACATGTGAACTCCACAGGACCATCATTCATTCAGTTCACTAACACTGCGCAGAGGATGTTTTCAGCCACGTAACAACATCCTTAGAGTCGGCCATTCTCCCTTCTAAACACACCCTGAAATATTTGGCCTCCCAGGCTCAGATGGCTGGGGTGACATACCTTCTTGGAAGTCTACCCACGAGAGAATATGTCCCGAGTAGGAGCTTTAAGACCACGACCCATCATGCACTATGCCAAATCTACCTGGCTCTCAGGGTCAAGAGAAAAGGCCGCCAGGACAAGATGACAAGTATTGGAATTCTGGTCACCACAACTATTTCTTACCGTGGGGACCCATTCTTGAGTCACTGATGAAAAAGTGACTAAATCACCCACATATGCAAGATGCCCAGAAGCCCTCACTGGAGAAGTGTGGCGTCTCAGCACGGCCTAGCATGGCTAGGCACAGTTTCTGACAACGTGCGCAAACTTGTCCTTTGAGACCGGTGAGTGGCTCCACACAGCCCTGTTAAAACAGACACACGAACCTGCTCCGCCTCCTCCTCTTCTTAAATTTTTATTTACTTTTAGGTTATGTGCATTGGTGTTTTGCCTGCAGGTCAGATCTTTGAGTTACAGTTGTTAGCTGGGTGCTGGGAACTGAACCTGGGTCCTCTGGAAGAGCAGTCAGTGCCCTTAACCACTGAGCCATCTTTCCAGCACCTAATTTTTTTTTTAAGGTTTTTTTTAAAAAAGATTTATTTATTTGTTATGTATACAATGTTCTGTCTGCATGTATGTCTGCAGGCACCAGATCTCATTACAGACAGCTGTGAGCCATCATGTGGTTCCTGGGAATTGAACCCAGGTCCTCTGGAAGAGCAGCTAGTGCTCTTAACCTCTGAGCCATCTCTTCAGGCCCAAACCCTACTTCTTACAAGAGACAAGCCAACATTAAACTTTATTTGAAAAATAAAATCAGTTTTTAGAAGATTGAAATCGGGGTTGAGGATTTAGCTCAGTGGTAGAGCGCTTGCCTAGCAAGCACAAGGCCCTGGGTTCGGGGCTCAGCTGGGGGGCGGGGGGAAGAGAAGATTGAAATCATTTGAGATTTCTGACTAAAAGCATTTTTAAGTTGTACATTAATTGTGGAGGCTCTTTAGAAAAACAGCAGCCTACTCTTTTTGCTTGTTTGAGAGGGTCTCAGTGTGCAGCCTAGCTTTCCTGGAACTTTATGTATGGACCAGGCTGGCCTTGAACTCTCAACGATCTTCTTGCCTCTGTCTTCTGAGTACTGGGATTAAAGACATGTGCCACCAGGCCTGGCAAGCAGCCTGGTTTGTTTGTTTGTTCCCTTAATTTTTATTTTATGTGTATGGGTGTTTTGCTCCCATGTATGCCTGTTCACTATGTGCCTGATGCCCAAGGAGGCTAAAAGAGGGTACTGCATGTCCTGGAATTAGAGTTACAGAAACTTGTGAGAGGCATGTAGGTGCTGGGAACTGGACCTGGGTCCTCTGGAAGAACAGCTTGTGCTCATAATCACCGACCCATCTCTGCCACCCTGAAGCAGCCATTTTTAAAGGAATATATATATATATATATATATATATATATATATATATATATATATATATATATATATAAAATGTGTGTGTATGATGTATATATATTTTTTTTCCTATAAAAATATTTTTGGTCTTTAGAGACAGGGTTTCTCTGTGTAACTAGCCTTGGCTGTCCTGGAACTCACTTTGTAGGCCAGGCTGGTGTCAAACTCATAGAGATCCACCTGCCTCTACCTCCTGAGTGCTGGGACTAAAGGCATGCGCCACCACTGCTGGAGGAGACCTCGTAAGAAGCAGGCGGATCTCTGTGAGTTCAAGGCCAGCCTGGTGTATAGAGCGAGTTCCAGGACAGGCACCAAAACTACAGAGAGATTCTGTCTTGAAAGACACCCCCTTAAGATAACTTTATCGCCCTCATCATTGTGTGGATGTATACATCAGCTGACGTAGGTACTGGAGTCAGAAGGCAGCTGTCAGCAATCAGCTCCCCTCTTACCCTTTGGGTTCCTGGGACCAGACTTAGGTCATCCGGGTCATCCAGCAAGCACTTTTACCTACTAAGCTAGCTGTATTGCCACCCTAGAATCTACAATTCTAGCTAGTAGGTTTTCAGTGTTTTAGCTAAGAAAGTATAATTATTTTCACTGAATGTCTTTTATGATTTTGTAATAAAACTGCATTTGGATATTATTTTTGTTTTCATTTCAATCATTTTTATCAGCATTGCCTAAGACGTATGTACATGTATGTGTACACACACACACACACACACACACACACACACACACACACACACACACACACACGAGTCCCAGTGTCCCAGTCTTACAGTTTAAAAATGAAAACCATGGGGTCTGGAGAGATGGCTCAGAGGTTAAGAGCATCTGGAAGCTCTTCCAGAGGTCCTGAGTTCAATTCCCGGCAACCACATGGTTGCTCCCAACCATCTGTAATGAGATCTGGTGCCCTCTTCTGGCCTGCAGGCACACATGCAGACAGAACACTGTATACATAATAAATAAATTAAATCTTAAAAAAAAAAAAAAAAATTGAAAACTACACCCACGTTGCTCCCAGCTCTGGAAGGCCAAGCTTTCTGAGCCAGTTCTCCCTGTTCTGTTCTGTTTTTTTTGAGACAGGGTCCAAGCTGGCCTAGAACCCACAGCAATTGTCCTGCCTCAGTTTGGAATAACAGATGTTAGCCATCATTCTGGAGTAAATCCACTTGTTTTTAGAATTTTACTTTGTGTGTTCTCTCTGTCTCTCTGTCTCTGTCTGTGTGTGTGTGTGTGTGTGTGTGTGTGTGTGTGTGTGTGTGTACGCGCACGTGCAAGACAGAGAGGGAGAGGGGAGGAGCACACCTCTTTGGACTCAGGTCTCTCCGTCCGTCCGCCGTGGATTCCATCCAGACGACCAAACTCAGGCTGTCAGTCTCGCACTTACATACTTTTACCCACTAAGCCCTCGCCAGCCCCGAACTCATTTCTTTTCATTCTGTTTAAGCCACAGTCCTCCGATTGCACCTCTTACCCTTTCCGTTTGGGCCACTGAAGGTCTATGACACGTTTCTTGACGTCTCTGTGCTCCCCAAGCCACTCTGCTCACAGTCTCCTGTGGGTTCTGACCGCACACTACACAACATGCTGCGCGAACAGCCACCGCTGGCTGACAAGTCCACAGGGCACCTGCCAGAGCGTCCTCACCTCAGTCGCGGGTACTCGGGTACTCAGTGGAGCGCACACCAGTATCCCAATCATTAAGGCTTGAGACAGGTGAAGGCCGGGAGCCAAGCATGGCCCAGCCCTTTAAGAACGATAACTTTACCTCCAAGGGCCCAAGTTCAGTTGCCAAGACCCGTGTGGAGTCGCTCACAACCTCCTGTAACACCAGCTCCAGGGGACCTCAAGTCTCTGACCTCTGAGGGAACCCGTATTTACAAGCACACACACATACATGCAATCAAAATAAAATACATCTTAAGGTCCCTGGCCTCCATGTTCACTAGGTATGTGATGTTTATGCACCCATATGCACACACACACTCATGTGCGAACACATAGCAAAAAACTAGAAGTAACCTATATACACATAGGGATAGATGACTAAACCACATACATACACACAATGTACATCAAGAGAATTTTTATATCAAGTAATCAATTTAAAGACTAATACATGAAAAAGAACAAAATTCAAAAGGCTATAGTGTGATATGTTTCATGTTAAAAAAATAAAAAAAATGAGAAAACACACACCTACATGCTTGTCTGTACAGACAGGCTAGGAGGGACAAACTGGTAACCTACAGGGAAGGTCTCCCTCTACCAAGCTCTACCTTTTAAACATTTTATTATTTATTATTTTTATGTGCATATCTGTGTGCCACTGAAGTGCCTGGTGCCCACAGAAGCCAGAAGAGGGCAGCAGATCCCCACGGAACTGGAATCACAAACAGTTGTGAGGCACCATGGGGGGACCTGGGAACTGAAGCTGGGTCTTTCTTCTGTAAGGGCAGCCAGTGCTCTTAACTGCCCAGCCATCTCTCCAGTCCTGGGACATTTTTTAAGATAAGAGTCATAAACAGAGATGGGCATGGTGGTACACACCTGTCATCCTTGCACTCAGAAGGTGGGGAAGGAGGGTCAGAAGTCAGAAGTCAAAGGTCAGCCAAGGTTATATGAGGCCCTGCCTCCAAACATCAAATTAAAAAAAAATTCTCGTAAGTGAAAGGAAGAAACAGGTATTTAGGAACTCTCAAGGCGTCTTCTTACCAGACACTAATTACACGGTGGTGTGGCAGGTACCACCCGAACTTCGTGACAGGGAAGTAATTTTCATGCACTGGGGACACACCTTAGTGTCCTGGTACTTCTCCCCTAAAGCTTACCACCCACATCCAATAATGATGAAACATCAGAGAAGCCCCAATAGAAAGACAGGTGTCTTTCTATTCCATATGGTCCTTATCTCTCACCGCATTTAGTCTCCTGAATTTCCCGAGATCTGGAGTGGTATGGAACATGGGAACTGACAGTGGGGGTATTCCCTGCTAGAAAGGACAGAGGAAAAGCCGGCAAGACAAAATCAGAGTCTAGCGTGTGCAGCAAGACAGCGCAGAGCCAACAGGAATCTCTTGACTTTGAGAGTCTGTGGGGGCATGGAGAGGAACGTCTTTGAAGGACTAACACACACGTGGGTCCCCTCACCACAGTCCAGGAAACACATGTGGGAGAAACACTGAGAATACAAGAGCAGACACAGGAACA